TTGTATGGTAAAATTGAAATTAATTTAAAATCATGTGGGAGACATAAAAATTTCCCAATAACAATTTACTAAAAGTAAGTAAAAAATTGTGGGATCATATATATTTTTTAAATTTTTTTTAATTATATGTAGTTGCTTGTATACACACGTTTTAAAATAATATCAAATTAGATATGATAAAAAAATATTGTTTCCTTAAATAATTTTTTAATATCTGAAATAATTTCATTGATATCCATGAGAATAAATTACAAGACTGATTTTTCAAAAATTAATTACTTGAAGTGGGGTCCACCTCTTTGTGTCTGTTGAATTACCCACAATAATCTTAATGAAAGTATTATTTTGTTTTTTTACCCATTAGATTATCCAATCTAATGGCTATGGTTTATTCTTATTTCATATATATATATATATAATTGCTAGCAATCATTAAATAAAACTTAATAAATTTTACCTCATAAATTTAATTTCATAAATTATACCTATATGACACCTAACTTTCCAAAAACCGATTCTGTGAATTAAGACAAAAACCATTACATTTTATATTAACTGAGCAATAATTATATTATTTTTATTGTATCATATAATAGTTATTATTAGAATTAATAATTGTATTTTACACTAAATAATATATGAAAGTTACACAAACATACAAAATTATATTGTAAAACTTTTTGTTCGAGTTATTCGAACATTTGGAGCACCTACGTGTTTCGTATAGATTTGGTGGGCAAGGGGTAACCGAGCTACCCGACTCGGGTCGATCTCGAGGGAAGACTATTCGGAGCTTTACTCACTATTCAATCGCTCAAATCACAAAAATAGAAAATAAAGTCCTAAACATACTAATCAATTTGGGTTGAGGTTGATTAACACTAATTACAACTATTGAAAGCAAGTAAACGAGCAACGAGCAAGTGAACGAACTATGGGATTCTAGCAACTAATCCGGTGAGCAAAATCAAGAGCAACAAAAGCGAAAGTAAGAGAAACGAACTCCATTTAGCATGCTTAGAAGCCCAAACCGAAATCCTACTGCGAAATAACCGAGCTAAATGTAAAGTCACGATTTTTCAAATAGCAATCAATCAATCAATCCACTCCAAGCATCATAAACGAGCTCACAAAAGTGAAGGAAATGAAAACGACTAAAATAGCTACTAAAAATCCGACAACCGAGCAAGCCTTAATTACTTCTACGCACGAGATAGCAAGTAAGTACAAAAATCGAGATCACAAGGCTTAAAAGTAAGTACTCACATCCCTAACGCATGCTTGATCGAAATCGGAAGAAAAAGATTAAAACTTGCATAAACGAGAAGTCACCGGAAAAAGTCACCGGAAAATGTAAAGAGCATTCACCTTACTCTAGAGAGAAAATAAAAGACTTAAGCTAAGAACCAAAAGAGGAAACATTGCATAATGAGCTAGATAATGCAAAATGCAAAGGCTCAAAAATATTTATACTCCACACAAACACACACTCAAAAGCGCACATTAAATGAAGGCACTCTCGACCACGCCATGGAAATCGCGAGCACGAGGAAAGGGAAATGCACAGATGCGACACTCTCGATCGCGCGAGGTCTCCGGCGAGCTCGCGAGTGTGCATGGTGATGGCAGGTAAGGACTCTCGACCTCGAGGAAATAGTGGCGGGCTCGAGAGTGTGCAATGGTAGAGAAAAGGAACACTCTCGACCTTGAGGAA